AAAAAAAAAAAAAAAAGAAAAAAAAAGATGAAATATGGATCCAGAAATGTGCACTACAGAAGGTATTTCTTTAGACTGGTTTAACACTACATGGAATTGGTGATTAACAGACAAGTACTGTAAATTTGTAAATAAAAAGCTAGACCCTTCCTTTAATTTTAATAATAAAAAGGAGAAGAGAGTCTGGTGGTCCTATTTTTTAAAAATGCATGATGATAAATATTTTTAGAAGAAAATATATATGTCCATAGTGTACAATAAAAAAACTAGACAGTTAAACAAAACTTACGGGTTTCCTTCAGTTACATGATAACATCCCACCTCTGTCTCTTATAATATGGTGAGTAATGAATAATAATAATCACATTGATTATTAATCCTTTTGGTTATCAATAACCTTCCATAAGGAAACTTACAGGTTGAATGTCCCTAACAAGAAAATAAAAATGCTCCAATGAGCATTTCCTTTGAGTGTCATATCGGCACTCAAAAAGTTTCTAATTTTGTAGCAATTCAAATTTCGGATGCTCAACCTGTACAATTGGAGATCAGCCTAGTTGCCAAGTCCTTACTACAGGGATTCTCAAATAACTGTGTGTTTGTTAAAAATGCTTTTCCAAGTTTATCCCGAGAAACCATGATTAATCTGTAAAGAAATCTAAATTTTTAATAAGCATTCCAGATGACTGTAAAGCAATTAATACATGGATTATCACTTAAATTTTAGCAGGACTGTAGATACTAGGAAACAACTTTTGCCATTAGCCTTATACCTTAAACCCCAGTTAGAAATTCATCCAGGTCCTGAAAACGAACAAGGGACCATTAAAACTGGTATCTAGGCCAGGCGCAATTGCTAACACCTGTAATCCCAGTACTTTGTAAGGCCAAGGTGGGCGGACTGCTTGAGCCCAGGAGTCTGAGACCAACCTGGGCAACATGGCAAAACCCCAGTCTCTACCAAAAAAATACAAAATATTTAGCCAGGCAGGTAAAGGCTGCAGTGAGCAGTGATTGTGCCATTGCACTCCAGCCAGGGCAAGAGCTAGATCTTGCCTCAAAAAAAAAAAAAAAAAAAAAAAAAAAAAAAATTCAAAATGGAAATACAATCAGTATATTGCTTCCAACTTACCCAATCACTATCATAAATGATAACTGTATCTGCTGCAGTCAGATTAATGCCCAGGCCACCAGCTCGTGTACTCACTAAGAAGATAAACACCTCTAGATCTGTGTTAAAGCTGTGCAT